AAAAAAAAAAAAAAGAATAAACACTGCAGATCATTATTTACCTTGGGCAGAAACAATGAAGATAAATAAGCAAAGGAGGCCGCTTATAAGGGCCAGATTTGTGCGTCGCAACATTTCGTTTTACAAGTTTCAAAAGTAGCTTCGAGTATTCATTATTTGTAACGATAAGACGGAGGATATAGAAACAGACTTGATTCACGTATAGTATGAATCTTAGTGTGGCTCATTGTGCCTACTTCGCTTATGTATAAAAAATAAGGTGCGTTCGATCGGGCACAAGGTGGGAGATGCAAAAGGACGCCGATTGGCTCCTAAAGATTTTTCCTGTTGTTTTTAAATCGTCACGTGATGGCTGATCAATTTTCTTTTTTTTTTTTTTTTTTTCGAGTAATCTTATGATCATTTAGATGAATCAACTTTTCTGAAAGGATACTCAAATGTTTGAATTTATTTTTACAAAGTTTGTAAAAAAATGTCACAGGATCCCTCGTGGCTCACCGAATGTGGATTACGAAATTTTTGTGCATGTAAGCATCGGAGGCACTTCGCACACACACCTGACGGTTGGATCGTGTTCTTGACTCAATTCTTCACCGATGTTCATCATCATATTTCCAAATTTGCACTTTATTCCAACTAAAAAAATTTTTTTCACGTTTGTATGATTACTGGATCGTCATTCTAACTTACCAATAATGTTTCATTCTGTTCAATATTTGTACCTGATACTCCCCTGGAATTTTTTCTACGAGTTATTGGAGAGCTTTTCACTTTGTCGTAGTCCTCCTCTGAAATCGAATCGAATATCGAGTTTCAGAAAAGAAATGTACCGCTCACAGATCAATTTTATATTGCACTCATAGTATTGTATTTTCATACTCACGACATTTGTATTCATAGCTACAGGTTTGAGACGGCAACTGATGTGCAAGGAAAACAGGTGGACAATTTTCATGAAGTTCGAACGATCGTCTTAATTCAATTCCACAATGTACTGTTCTGCAAATTATCTCCAGTTCTTGAACTATAAAAATTATAGTACATTATTTACCAAACTGGAATACTTTCAATTTTCATACTCTATGCATTTTTTTTTTTTTTTTTTTTTTTTTTTTTNGTCAATATTTTATAAAGATTTAAAGTGATAGCAAGGGTTACTTTTACAATTTTAAGACTTTACAATTTTGTCAATATTTTATAAAGATTTAAAGTGATAGCAAGGGTTACTTTTACAATTTTAAGACTTTACAATTTTGTCAATATTTTATAAAGATTTAAAGTGATAGCAAGGGTTACTTTTACAATTTTAAGACTTTACAATTTTGTCAATATTTTATAAAGATTTAAAGTGATAGCAAGGGTTACTTTTACAATTTTAAGACTTTACAATTTTGTCAATATTTTATAAAGATTTAAAGTGATAGCAAGGGTTACTTTTACAATTTTAAGACTTTACAATTTTGTCAATATTTTATAAAGATTTAAAGTGATAGCAAGGGTTACTTTTACAATTTTAAGACTTTACAATTTTGTCAATATTTTATAAAGATTTAAAGTGATAGCAAGGGTTACTTTTACAATTTTAAGACTTTACAATTTTGTCAATATTTTATAAAGATTTAAAGTGATAGCAAGGGTTACTTTTACAATTTTAAGACTTTACAATTTTGTCAATATTTTATAAAGATTTAAAGTGATAGCAAGGGTTACTTTTACAATTTTAAGACTTTACAATTTTGTCAATATTTTATAAAGATTTAAAGTGATAGCAAGGGTTACTTTTACAATTTTAAGACTTTACAATTTTGTCAATATTTTATAAAGATTTAAAGTGATAGCAAGGGTTACTTTTACAATTTTAAGACTTTACAATTTTGTCAATATTTTATAAAGATTTAAAGTGATAGCAAGGGTTACTTTTACAATTTTAAGACTTTACAATTTTGTCAATATTTTATAAAGATTTAAAGTGATAGCAAGGGTTACTTTTACAATTTTAAGACTTTACAATTTTGTCAATATTTTATAAAGATTTAAAGTGATAGCAAGGGTTACTTTTACAATTTTAAGACTTTACAATTTTGTCAATATTTTATAAAGATTTAAAGTGATAGCAAGGGTTACTTTTACAATTTTAAGACTTTACAATTTTGTCAATATTTTATAAAGATTTAAAGTGATAGCAAGGGTTACTTTTACAATTTTAAGACTTTACAATTTTGTCAATATTTTATAAAGATTTAAAGTGATAGCAAGGGTTACTTTTACAATTTTAAGACTTTACAATTTTGTCAATATTTTATAAAGATTTAAAGTGATAGCAAGGGTTACTTTTACAATTTTAAGACTTTACAATTTTGTCAATATTTTATAAAGATTTAAAGTGATAGCAAGGGTTACTTTTACAATTTTAAGACTTTACAATTTTGTCAATATTTTATAAAGATTTAAAGTGATAGCAAGGGTTACTTTTACAATTTTAAGACTTTACAATTTTGTCAATATTTTATAAAGATTTAAAGTGATAGCAAGGGTTACTTTTACAATTTTAAGACTTTACAATTTTGTCAATATTTTATAAAGATTTAAAGTGATAGCAAGGGTTACTTTTACAATTTTAAGACTTTACAATTTTGTCAATATTTTATAAAGATTTAAAGTGATAGCAAGGGTTACTTTTACAATTTTAAGACTTTACAATTTTGTCAATATTTTATAAAGATTTAAAGTGATAGCAAGGGTTACTTTTACAATTTTAAGACTTTACAATTTTGTCAATATTTTATAAAGATTTAAAGTGATAGCAAGGGTTACTTTTACAATTTTAAGACTTTACAATTTTGTCAATATTTTATAAAGATTTAAAGTGATAGCAAGGGTTACTTTTACAATTTTAAGACTTTACAATTTTGTCAATATTTTATAAAGATTTAAAGTGATAGCAAGGGTTACTTTTACAATTTTAAGACTTTACAATTTTGTCAATATTTCATTAAGATTTAAAGTGATAGCAAGGGTTACTTTTACAATTTTAAGACTTTACAATTTTGTCAATATTTCATTAAGATTTAAAGTGATAGCAAGGGTTACTTTTACAATTTTAAGACTTTACAATTTTGTCAATATTTCATTAAGATTTAAAGTGATAGCAAGGGTTACTTTTACAATTTTAAGACTTTACAATTTTGTCAATATTTCATTAAGATTTAAAGTGATAGCAAGGGTTACTTTTACAATTTTAAGACTTTACAATTTTGTCAATATTTCATTAAGATTTAAAGTGATAGCAAGGGTTACTTTTACAATTTTAAGACTTTACAATTTTGTCAATATTTCATTAAGATTTAAAGTGATAGCAAGGGTTACTTTTACAATTTTAAGACTTTACAATTTTGTCAATATTTTATAAAGATTTAAAGTGATAGCAAGGGTTACTTTTACAATTTTAAGACTTTACAATTTTGTCAATATTTTATTAAGATTTAAAGTAATAGCAAGGGTTACTTTTACAATTTCAAGACTTGCGAGATAAAATCTTGGCTTTGTAGACTACATAGAAGCGATTTAAAAACTAAAAGCTAAAGAAAATTGGATAGATAACAGGCACTATGACGTATGTATGTAATATTGCTTAAATAATCACAGCAAAAAAAGGATTTGTAAAATAAAAAAATTAAAAATACCAGTAAAAGTTTTAGAACACATGCACACGTGTCGATCATTGGGATAAAATACTTCTCCGTATTTGTATGAGGTTCCATTAAATTCACACATTTCTATCTCTCCATTGTCCTTGGCTGGAAATATTGCAAAGATTTTTGTTTTTCTAATGTTATTCTAATTTTTGAGTGAGAAATATCAGGTAGGTACGTTGTTAAAATAAGTGATACTTACGACAAACCACTTTTCCTTCACAGCAAGAGTCCAATTGATGTCTATAGAAACAACCTTTATTCACGAAAATACGTGGACAATCAACCTGAGTGCACGAAAACATGGCACTGAAAATCATACCAATCGTTGTTGAAATTACCCTTGATTATTTAACTATTTAATTTCCAATTAGAATTTTTGGACTTTTGTTTTAGGACATAAATTAATTATAAATTTCTAATGAAAATTTTTCAAAAAGATTTTTGTCCAAAGTATTTTATAAAAATATATTCGAAAGCTAAGAATTCGATCTTGGATACTTACATGCCTTTCGGTCCTTTTACGCAAGCACAATTCTCGTCACAAGGCCCTGAGCGATCTTTATCAAGCAGTGATTTTCCGATATCATATTCACGACCATTTACGTGGCATTTATTTTTTGACCTTCTCCCCAGATGCGTACAGTCGTAACTGACTGCGCAACAGTCACCATCCATGATATTTGGCTTGCATCCAAGCTCCTCATAATATCTTATGGGACCTTTGCACTTACTTTTGTCACAATCTAACAAAGAACTTTTTTTTTAATTTTTTATTTCAAGCAACAATTTGTACAAAGCATATATATATATATATATACTCATAACAAATAAGTTGAACATCCTCGATTGAATAATTTTAATATAACGATGAAAACAAAAATGTTTCAAAAAAACTTGCACAGGTATCTTTTTAAACATTTATTGAGTATTACATCAATTAACCAGAAAAATTTTTTTTATTACTTACGAGCATGATTAATACTGCAGTGCTGATAAAATAATTTTTTATAGTTACGTAATTTATATATTGTGCAGATTATAGTTTCGATCAAATATATAAAGAAACGAGGCCACTTTGACTTGCCCGTATAAAAATTATCACTTTTTTTTACTAATTTTATTTTTACTTTTATATTTTATATTTATATTTTCACCGTATCACATTTTTATGCGTTGATTGATGTAATTTTTAGATTGTAACCCTACTGAAATTTCTTATAAAATCAAAATATGATTTAGCCTATGGAACAATGCCACGGGAGCAATAAAAANAAAAAAAAAAAAAAGAATAAACACTGCAGATCATTATTTACCTTGGGCAGAAACAATGAAGATAAATAAGCAAAGGAGGCCGCTTATAAGGGCCAGATTTGTGCGTCGCAACATTTCGTTTTACAAGTTTCAAAAGTAGCTTCGAGTATTCATTATTTGTAACGATAAGACGGAGGATATAGAAACAGACTTGATTCACGTATAGTATGAATCTTAGTGTGGCTCATTGTGCCTACTTCGCTTATGTATAAAAAATAAGGTGCGTTCGATCGGGCACAAGGTGGGAGATGCAAAAGGACGCCGATTGGCTCCTAAAGATTTTTCCTGTTGTTTTTAAATCGTCACGTGATGGCTGATCAATTTTCTTTTTTTTTTTTTTTTTTTGCGAGTAATCTGATGATCAATACGCTGTTCAGATGCTGTGAAGAACACGAAGCGATGAATGTGATTTAATTAAAAATACCGATCTATCGATTGATAACCCCAAGTATCTCATTTTGATGTGACATCTTTTTTAGTTGTGTACCCTTACGAACATTTATCTATTAATTTTTGCGAGCAATAAAATTTAAAAAATTCTTCCTGTGGATTATACATCATCCAAGGCGATTGTTGCTTGCTTCCTTGTTTTGTAAAGGTGGAAAAACAAGTTTCGTCTGCGCAATCGTGTACGTCGAAACGCACCTATATACACTTTGAATATATAATTATTCAGGTTTTGAATAAAACTATAAGCTATTATGTGACGTTCAGTTAAGTTTATTGTTGAAACTCCATTACAGCTGTTTGGGTACACTGTATACCTTTCCCAAACGAATAATCCACAGTTACTCGGTACAAATTTGTGCTACGTTCCTTATTTTTAAGTTCCGTTAATTATTTTACATAAACAAATATTAAAAAAACATCAATTTATAACAAAAGAATACGAGCAGATACGCTACTATCAGTAAATGTACCACAAAATTGGAAGGTGGATTCTTTAAATTTAATTGAATTCTGTAGCTTTCCGTAATACTTTAATTTATTTATACCTATTTTTTCCAAAAGATTTAATCATTTAAAACGTCAATCAAAACTACTATGACTACATTTGATCAAATATTTAGCGTGATTTAAATTGTTTAAATTATTATTATACACACTCTATGGTTATCGTTTATCCTTGAACTAACCGATCCACTATAGTTTGTCTTATACCTATATTGTTTTTTACACGTACGGTACTCCATAAACTAACAACTCCTCTTTTATCATGTTTGTTTTGTTGTTTTTCACCATATTTTGCAGGTTTTTGTTCGTTTTCAAACGCCACATTTATTTCTAAAACTTTTAAGCGTTTACAAGTAAAAATCTATGTATAAAATTTGAAAGAAAATACTCGATCGTTATTCTGCCGAAGGAAAGACTTTTTTGATAACTTTTGATATAAGGCCTGTTTAATAAAGCTATCTATGAAATTAGGATCATAGTTGGTTGTAATAGCTACCCATTTGATAATTTTAAGTTTATTGTTGGATTAGTTAAGTTTGACACGCTTCGTGTGCTGCAAAAGTCATAAGTAGCTTCTTTTATATTTACATACGGATATTTTCATACTACGATGTAGCATATATACTCATACCACAAACTTTATATTACCGCCAATTATGTGAAATTAAAAAAAAAAGTTCTTAACGTAAATGCCATGTACTGTTGATGAATAAGTAACGATTGAAAACCTCTTTTTTTATAAAAACATAATTGTCTTGTATCAGGATTGTTATAAAAGTATGAAATATAATACGTTAAGCACAATTATATTTTACACTATCTTTACCTAAATACAATTTTTTCTCTTGCTGTCTCTTTTTTAAGAGAATAATTAAGTAAAACATCATTATTTTTCGAAACATTTGCACAGCGTAAAAATTACCGGAAACTATAAAATTAACTTATTCAGTTTACAACCAGCGCCATCTCACGTTGAAAATTTTGAACTAAAAAGTACCCTAAAAATTCTCAGAAAATTCTCCGCCAGGCAGCGCTAGTAGTGTTTTTAATTTTTTTTTTTTTAACTCAGGTCAAACTGGGCGATCTGCGCCCATCTCAGTGCCGTATTACGGACCACTGGGGGCCAGGTCCGGGACCAGGTTGCGGCCAAGGTCATTAGCAAGTGGCAACCAAGCTTGGCCCAATATTTCGCCCACTTTCAATTTCCGTTCGGAGGGCTCTCCCATTTCCGGACTGTATATATATATAATAAATGTATAAACTGTACAACCACTAGTAGTCGTCGTCGTTACTGCCATCGTCATCGCTTAGATCAATAATATTCTAAATAATAAGTCGAGATGGCCTACAATTTTCCAGGAATTCCTGGAGCTACTATCTCTGCCATGGGGCCGATGGGTAAGTGTTACATTACAAGCGTCTCATCTTATTCGCATAGGTATTTCATATTCTAAACACACGATGTGTAGTACTCTGCACTTTATTGATCCCACAATTCCCTTTTCTCTCTTTCTACTGTCTCTTATTACTTTTCGTATACTATTATTTATGCTTACTCTTACATGTGTAAATATCTACCCATAATACATATAAATAATATGATGGACTTGACTTAAGACTTATACAGCATACACTTAAGTACATTATGTTTAATTACAAGGTATCCAATTGTTTTAAATGATATCTGCATGTGTGAGAAATGGCGAGTAAGTACTACGAATTGAATTGAATCCTGTTCTCACTTATAATGACAAACGTTTTGTTTATATGCATTAGAGTGATAAGGCGTTCCTTCTTTGTTTATATCGGTGTAGCAGACGGCATCAAATAGAATGTAAATATGTATATATATACACATTCTGACGTATATATAGGTATATATAAATCGATAAATTGTATTCTGTCAGACATCGTATTATATTGAAATGATATGTCAAGTGGTGTGGCGTCTGCTCTGCAGCTCGAGCCTCGAAGCTTGCGTTACGTATAGACACACACTTTTGCACATGTATTTATTAATTTAAATTCCTCCTTCTCTCGCTTAACATTGTTATTTATTTCATGAGAGAGTGAGGAGAGAGGCCGTGCTATTTTTAGCAAGTTTTTCTCACTCCGGAGTCCGGACGCTCCCTCTGCGCAGTACTTCGCAGACTTCTCAAGTTCGGATATCTATATATATGTACGCGGAGTTCAGTATAGGTACATCCCATCGCGTACAGCAATACTTAGCGTTTCTAATTTTTTTTACGTATTCGCATTTTTCCACTTTGCGCTGCTCGTTGTCGGGATGTTGTACGGACTCGATTGTTGCCTGCTAGACGAGAACTTGTCTCGCAAAATAATTGCCAAAGATGTGCGACTTGCTTCCCTGTTATCGAGTAAGTGTTTTACTTGCTCATTTATTTTGGATGCAATACCTGTAATGTGAGTCGTTGTGCGTGACATTATGTAAAACCCACTGCTGAAATGCAAACTGTAACTTGCAAAAATTGCAACATTAGATTCCCCCATTTCAAGCCATTGTATAAAATGTAAACGATTTTAGAGACCACAAACAAGACAAATATTTTATTTTGAATTTCACTTATAGGAAAAATTTTTGTATCAATCAAAACCAGTAGAAATTTTTTTATTTTTAAATTAAACAGTGAACTTGCAAGGTAAATGAAATGAATTTTTATATTGGCCATGTTTCTGAACATGTTTCAAATAAAATCTTTTGAAAATATTATTTGAAGAAAATAAAAAATTTGAGGCTTACACAATTTTTCCACCACAGGCATGGGGCACATGGGACCACTCGCTCCCATTCCCGGAGCACAAAACTTCATAGAACTGGCTAGTCAAGGATTTTCACCTTTGCCTCCACCTATGTCACTACCTGGTATGAACGATTCACCGCTTGAGTTCAACGCTAATAAAAATCAACCCTGTGTTCGTGAAAGTACAGAAGATAACGATAGGAGAAGTAATAAGAATGAAAACAGAAGAGACCGTGACGGTAGAGACAGCCGTGATATTGGCAGAAGGTATTACAACCTGTTAATTTCTAAAGTAAGAATAAACTCTCGTTATGTACCAATACAAATTTATCAATGCAGGTCAAGAGGAGATCGTGACAGACGAGATAGAGACAGAAGAGATGAAAGGCTTGACAGGGATCGCAGGGAGGACAGACGATCTAACGACCCGGAAAACATGATTTCATCTACAAACAGTAGTAATCTCAGCAGCAACAGTAGCCAAGTAAGTTCAACGTCAAATCCAACGGCAAATAGTACTCCAAACCTTGGACCTCCATTGGAAGCATCTGCGGGAGTTTGGGGTATGGGTTTAGGTTACCCAATGATGGGAATGGGACCCATGGGCACAGTTGGACCTCTAATGGGGGACATACCTCTTGGCCCTCATATGGGACATGCTCATGGCTTTGGACCCATGGGGATGGGCATGATTTCTCACGAAGGGCCCATGATGGGACCCCCAATATTGAGTCCAGGGCAAATTATGAGCGAAGCTGCCATAATCAACGGAACGTTACCGCAACCTGCCATGCAGGGTACCAAAGAAATTATTCACTGCAAAAGCTGCACGCTGTTTCCACCAAACCCCAACGCTCCGTCTCCGACGACGAGAGAAAGACCACCTGGATGTAGGACGATATTCGTTGGAGGTTTGCATCTTGACTTATTTTCATTTGGCTACTTCGTATGTAATATTTGTCAAGTATTTTAATTGAATGTGCCAAAATTTTGTTTCCCAGGACTACCAGAAGTCATAACCGAAAGTATTATTCAAGAAATATTCGAGCGCTGCGGTGAAATAACGACATTGAGGCTATCAAAAAAAAATTTTTGTCACATTCGTTTTGCAGTAGAAAGTAGTGTTGATGCGGCAATTTATTTGTCTGGCTATCGAGTGCGCATAGGGTCAAATGGGGAGCCTTCACATACCGGTAGATTACATGTAGATTTTGCTCAGGTAATATCGTGTACATTTAATTTATGTTACTCGTCTCAATCATATAGTTGCTTTACTTATACAAACATTCTTTTTAAGGCCCGAGACGATCAGTACGAATGGGAATGTAGGCAGCGTCAATTGCAACGAGAGCAAAGACACAGAGAACGAGTCGAAAAGGAAAGGCAAAGACCACCATCTAGTCCGCCACCGGTGGTTCATTATAACGATCACGAAGCTTCAAATATATGCGAAAAAATAAAACAGGAAGACACATTTATGAAAGCTGTGCAAGTGTGTAAAATCATATTGAATTAACATCTCAATCATAATAATTGCATTACCAATCACATCTTAAATTATAGATCGTTATTACGTGGCTTGAACGTGGAGATTGTACAAAACGGAACGCCAATACCTTTTACTCAATGATTCAGTCAACAAACTCTCATGTCCGACGACTTCTGACAGAAAAAGTCACGTACGAAGAAGAGCTTCAAAAGGCCAAAGAACTAATGCAGGGCAGGATGCAGGGATTGCTCATTCAGTGTGAGTTTTAAGATATAACTTTAAAAAAAATACATTAGGTCGAAGCCGTGTATTCAAAATTCTTTAATCAACTGTTAATAAGTATATCTGCATTTCTGTTGCTTATGTTTTGGTAAGTGGAGCCTTTTGCAAAGGTTTCAAAAATTATCTGTGAAACGTGCAAGGAAAACTATTGAGCTTCATTTGCATTTTTGATTCATCATTCAAGTGCTACCATATTCTTAGACAAGTGAGATTGAGAGGCAGCATTTTTCATACGTGGGATCTTCTTTCAATTAATCATGAATAACGAAAATTCAAATTTAATTTTTTCAAAAGATAAATTACAAAGTCTTTCTCAAGAGTTATATTATTTGAATGGAATAAATTAAAAAACTTGATTTTCGAATATTTATGGAGCAAATAAAAAATGCTGGTAAAAAAACACACTTTTGAGACAGATTTTAAAAGTTGAATGTAACTCATTTGTCGCCTATTCTTGAGCTTTAAAAATGTCTCTGTTAAAATTGAACAACTAGAGGATTTGGAGAGAAAAAGGTGGGTGAAGAATGCTGACTTTTTATTTTATGATTAAAGTACTCCAGGTCCAATGGTGTTTTCAGATAATTATACATTATGCTACTAATAGAGCCATAGTATGTCAACAAAAGTATAGACAAATGCATGCTTAATTACAAATTTATTTAATTGGTGTTTGGGCAACACAGCCACAGCCGAGGCTGAGGGGTCGGAGTACAAAAACTTTTTCTTCTCTTATTTAGAATTTGGTGTCTTTAATCGAAGCAGTAAAATTAACCCCTGTATTAATAATTTGCTCACGGAAAGTGGCATTGGAGTTTCACAGCGCAATTGCGTTGAAAAAGGAAAGTCTCTTTTTTTCAAAGTCCGATGATAACAACCCATCAAAAGCTGATGTTTGTGTAACACTTGTTTATAACGATGATTCTGTCGCGAATGAATGAGAATCGTAAGGTGAGATACAGTGGGATTATAAAAAGGTGAAATAGGAAAGGATTAAAAAAAAAAAAAAAAAAAAAAAATTAATTAATATGATGAAGTACATACATGAAAATCGTAAGTGAAACAATTTAGGGTATACAACAGGGATTTGTTGTGTTTTTTGTATGCGACATACCGACACCCGTGTCAATTTCAACACTCAGTCAATCAAATTGGACGGGTGTTTACTGCCGCCAGCCACAAGAAGGTTTGGGATCACTTCACCAAGGCACAGCGAAAGAACATTGAGATGTGGAAGAAACAGTCCTTGGTATGTATTTGCTAACTCCATGTGAATAGAGACACTAGATGATGTTGACCTCCCCAATTTTTTAATTTTTTTTTTCTTCCTTTGAAATTTCGACGACACATACTCGCAAAAAATTTTTCTTCGACACTCACTAAAAGCGCAAATCGTAATGACAATGGCAGTCTGTAAAATTGACAATCGCGTGTTTCGAGATCAATTTTTAAGAAAATTTCAATTGTTTTTGGAACCAAAAAAGTATGTTCGTTTGTATTAGGATTTTGCTTCGAAAATAATAACAACTTGAACGTAAACGTCGTAATTTATCATCGAATTAAATTTATCGGAATCTTACAATTATTAATTAATAATTAATTTTTTCTAAGTTTTTTTTTACCCTTTATGGTCCCAATTTAAAACAAAAAAAATTGTCGAAAATTTAGAATTGAGACTTGTAATATCATTCCAATTCTCGGAAAATCTGTAATATTTGTACGACAATAAACAATACAAAATGTCTTATTTCCATAGTCACAAACATTATCGCTTTAAAAAAATCGTAACTCGGGCTTGACGAGGAATTAGAGCCAAATTTAAAGAGGTAAGTGATGCAAGTTCAAAACAGGAATCGAAAAAGGAAGCAAATACGTTTTTTGATTTAATGAAATGAGTATGGTCAGACACATCATCGCGGCAAATCGTCTATTTAATTGGCTGTAGACACTTAAGACGCAAAGGTAAACCATCAAAATAAGAATAGAGCTTTCGGTCGAATTGTGAATGTTTTATGGGCCACACAGATAAGAAATAGTTAAGTTATAATATAAATAAAAGAAAAAAAATAATAATTAAGAAAAATAGCACAGCATTCATCTGCAGCAATCTATCATATTTATATAGTCTTATCTCTTTTTTCTTGCATGACTATTTACTTAGTACTTTTCTGATATAACTGTCTCCTGAATCTTATTCTTTCTTTGGCTTTTTGGATACAGTAACAATAGATCTTGTATACTTCTTAATCCAGATACTCTGCGGATAGAGGTAAGATGTGCGTTAGGTGAAAGAGGAGAGAGTTAAGACTCAAACGCTAGCACAAACGTTTATGTGTTTTATAAGTTTTCGCTTTTATCATTGATATTATTTATTTAATAATGATTATCATTTTTATTTCATCTGCAATGAATTCGAAAATCAGAATCATTTATTGATTTCGAACGATATTTGATTGACTGATAATACTACTACTATAATTATAATTATTTTTATTTTCGTGACATTTTAGAATTACTAATTTTTTTATCTTAAAGAGCCACCAGTACGGTCAATTTGAAAATTTTACGTTTGATTATCGATAAAAAAAGCATGTTGACAATTGTCAATTTTTCTGAGTCATGAAACTAGAATTTTTTTTCCTCATGAAAAACTTGATAACAGGAAATCAAATCCATCCAATTGGAAGCGTCTGCAATGGAAGGAGAAGATGAAATGGAAGTTTCTGACTTGGAAGATGAACCTCAGCGGAAAAAAGTTCGCAACGATCAAATGGTCAATGAAGACGCCGAAAGACTGCAATCGGTGAAAGAAGAGAATGACAGTTTGCGGTGTCAATTGGAGGCATATAAAAATGAGGTGATTCTTCATCAAAGTAGATGTTGAAGGTTTATTCCTGATCTTGATTGATGAGTTTGAGACATGTTGGCAATTTTGTGCTTCTCAATTAAAACTTTCAAATTCTTATTGCACTTGCAGGTAGATCTGTTGAAATCTGAAACAAAAGTAGAAATCGAAGCCAAAGAAAAACAAATGAAAATGTTACAACAAACGTTCAAAGGAATGCAAGAGCAGCTAATGCAGTCGAGAAAGCAACAAGCTCAGGATGATCAAAAAATCAAAGATTTAATGGTCAAGCTAAATTTCGCGAAAAAAGAACAACCTGAAGAAAGCGAAGTCATTACGTTGGATAAGGACGACGATGACGATATCAATGATGAACAGGGTACGCCAAAGTCGGTCGTTACATCGTCTGGATCAGTTCAAATCACTCAAAAAGATGCTAAATTGATTGGTAACTTTATTACTGACTTTGAATGAGATGAATATTAAATAACTCGTGTCTTCGATGTTATACATTTTTTACAGGATTAATCGCAACGTTCTTACATATCCATCCCTTTGGTGCGAGTCTGGACTATGTCTACTATTACCTACAAAAAATGGAACCAGGACTTCGAATCAACGAAGTTGAATCTCTAATGCAGCGATTCCCACTAGTGTTTAAGCAGGAATTGTCGGGAATTGGCGCAAACATGGAGAGGCGCTGGCAGTTTTCGGGTTTTAATATTTCTTCAAGTTTTTAAACAAGTCATCACTTAGTTGTTATTTTATATGTAAACAAATTGTTGTGATCTATGTATAGCTTTGTCATAATTTCAAAGTAATGGTTGTCATAGAACTTTTGTCGCAAGCGTTTTAAACTATTGGATCAATTTTTTTTTTATGCTGTGAAATTATTGTTTGTTAATTTTTTTTATCCAGCCTACAATTTTTAGTAAGGTTGCCATTATAAATGTTGTTTTTATTAAAAAATAAATTTTTTACTTTATTCTTTTACACGCGTCCTTGCTCCTATGTACAAACTATATTACAAATAGTTGATCTCATACATAATTATTATCACTTGTCATTCCTGCTGTTTCTGCTACGAGACGATTATACCAATCACTGCTAACTTGTTTCTCTACAGTCACTTCTTGAAAAACTTGACTTTTTGAAGTCTGAATGTGATATAAATGCATAATTAATGACAAATAGATTGGACTTGATTTTCAAGATTATACACGAAACGAAGGCAACGTTACCTCAACAAATCCTAACTTATTAAACATTTTGAGACTTATTTGATTATCCATAGAAATTTTTGCTGTGTATTTTTGGATATTCAAATTTTCAATACCTGAAAAAATTTTTTTTTAAATAGTTGAAAATATTTTCAAGCAAAATAATTACCATATCGCATCATCAAAACAACAGATTCCCATCCTAATCCTTTTCCTCGATTGCTAAGTTCAGCAATCATAATTTCAATCTCTGCAAAATTTTCGTTGTCAGGATCATTAAGGTAAAAATTGGTGTCACCTATCATAGCACCTGTTCTTTTCAAAAACAATTTAATTTCATGGTTCATTGTAGCCAAAGTAAAACAAATAGCAAATATACCTATTTCATCTGCAGTTTTTTCAAATAGATGCTTGTTTAAAATGATAAATGTGCATTCTGTAACAAAAAGCAAATATGGGCTATAATGAAATTTTATGTTCGGTAATTTTGGGTATAAATAATCACTGAAGTTTAACTGTCTTTATCTTCAAACCAGTTTTGTTGCATTTTGTATTCTTCATCTAAAGTAAGGGGCTCGGATGCAGTTAGACGTTGCAATTCTTGAGATTCCATCCATTCGTGGTACCTTATAAACATAATTTCTTATTTATTTAACACAAAATCTATACTTATTATTTTCTAAAAAGTCCAGTAACCTCCGAACATGATGTTCCTTGTAAGGAACAAGGATAACATTATTTCCAATTATTCTTGTTGATTTATTAATCTTCATTTTGATTCAATAGTCTTTTCACTCCGAATATATACTTAACTTTTTAAAATAAAAGATATAATATACTTATACGTTTAGTATATACATTATACATGCATAGGCATAGAAAAATATAATAACACTTCGCTGTCAGTGTCAGTGCAGCGGGTGCTGTCTCGCTGTCTGCTAGGCGCTGGTATACCGACTATCTTATAGTCCTCCCACATAACTCTTTTTATTTTTTAATTTATTTATTTTTATTTACTNGCAGCGAACATGCGTGCGTGCGTGTATACATATAGGTATGCTACGACGATAGTTCAGGGACAGAGAGAAGAGGAGAAGGGAAAAAAGGGAGGACACTTCATTTCTACCTGTCGCGTAAATATACTTATACATGGAGCGCGCGGTGGCTCAGTCGGCTAGGTCGTGGATTGGCACGCGGGAGACCGTGGTTCGATTCCCGGCTGGCGCGACTTTTCGGGCAAGTACCTCTGTGAATTTTCACACGTGCTTTTTCACCACGTAATGCTCCTCGAGGAGAGTTTTAGGCGACCTTCTCGCAGCAAAAATTGCCTAATTCCTCCTACCCCCCTCTCAGTAATGGGAGACCTCCCATCTCTTTCCTTGTCCCTTTCCCAAGTGCTAAGTGCCTATAGTAGTGACCTTATTAAAGGAGCCGGACGTAGAGCACTATAATATAAAAAAAAAATATATATATATCTGTATATATCACGATTGCGGGTGCAGAAGACATCCTGCACTACCGACGATCGGCTAAGCGATAAATAAGTAAGGTCCCTGTTCTATTGACAAATGAAGGTCTTCATTATCGACTCTAGATATACATTACCTCTTGAGTCAACCGCCGATAGGGCAGGATCTCTGCTACACAATGTCTAATAGATGGCGCTGATTCTGAGATAAAAAAATTATTACACACTACATCAAATGAAATGATAACCGTAGGTATTTAGGTGATTGATTTGAAATGATTGATTTTTATTGAGTATTCATATTTTCTAGATATTTTCAGATGTCTCTGGTAACTTATGATGATTCAGTGGAATGTCAAACTCATAATTTTTATTTTTTTGTATTTGACAACCGTGAAACAGAAAAAGGGCAGAGTTTTTAAAAATAAACAGAAAAAGTGCTTTATTATAAATAGATTCTTTTATACAAAAGATAAAGAGTGAAATTAATTAATGAATATTATACATGAGTCTTAACAAATGAGATTAGTGTTTTTACTTTTTCGTTATCTTATAGTAATACGGCGAGTACAAAGGGGAGTCCATAAGCCTCTCGTCCATAACCGATCTTTTGCTCACGCCCCCATAAGGGTCGTTGTTCGGCGTTGCTGGCTGTGCCACTGATTCTCTCATGGACATAGGTGAATCACAATTCGAGGCACCTTCGCACATTGGTGAATCTACAGCACCGTTGCAGTCTTTCACAAAGGAGGGGTTACTGTTATTGAAGGACAACGATTCCAACTGATGGGTTAAAACCGAGAGATCTGGTTCTGGACAGTCTTCTTCTACATATCCGTTTTCCAAAAACAACACTTTAATTTCGTCAACCTCGTCCTTTAGGTTCTTTATGGCTATAGTCGATTCTTCGAGGAATTGGGTATGTGTTTCCCTCAGAGTTGATATCTCAACCTTATTTTCTGCTATCAGTTCCTGCAAATGTTGATGTATATCTTATTAAAAAAATCCTCCTCACAGTAATGGGAGAGAAAATTGTAAAGACAAACAACAATGACCGAGAGTAAACAATTTTTTTTATGGTTTTTAGTTAAAACACTAAGAAAATCACCTTAAATTGTCTCAGCTCGCTTCTCAGATTGTCAACGAGCTTATGGGCTGCCACTTGATCCTCTTCGTTGCTCTTGCAGAGCAGGAGGTTCGGCATTTTCCAAACTTCCTGTAAATTGGCGATACCCTCGTCTAACGTTGTACCGACCGTCCTAAGATTCTTAAAGTAATCTTCCTCCATTGTCAGAGGGCTAATTGTGTTTATTTAGTTTCTCTCTTGATCTGACACGATAATTGTACGTAGGTAGTTACCTACGCTTATTTCTTATTGTATCCGCATCTGCGTGTAATGAATTATGCAAAAAAAAACAATAACAATAATAAAAATAAAGCAACGACAACAATACTGTAAACGTTATCAGGTTGTTTCGGGATTCTCTGTATATACACTATACTTTGTGTGTTTCGAGTACAGTGTCTACTTCTACTGTAACTTTAGTTTCGTCAGCTTCGTATATTACTTATATACTATATTATATACTTACAGTGTATTGCAGACAATGCAGACTGCTGCTGCACACACACCGTAAAAAATACTATAGCACAGACAGGTGTTCATATAATATAATTATACTACCTACATTTCATTTACATTGCAGCTGCACTAGTGGCTAGGACAGGTAAGTTACATATAGGTATTTAGGTATACCTCCTACACGACACACACTAAACACACTTACACACTGTATACAGGTAGGTATATAGTATATACTCCAAAAGTATAAGCATACTTATAGGTCAATTTTCGGGTAAAAGAAAAAATAGTAAACTTGCCGCAAACAGCAAAAACAATGTCAAATTTTTATTTTCTATTTACTAAATTAGTTGCGGCTGGTTTCTAAGCAATAACATGGCTCTACTGTAAATTGAAACAATTATTTCGATCAGCGCCATCTAGCGTTGCTGATTTTTGAACTAAAAAGTGGCCCTAAACTTTTGACCCACAGCATTAGCGCTTAGAGCCATTTAGCCAATTATAAACCAGCCGCAACTCATCTTGTAGTTATAAAATTAAAAAATAACAATATATGTGTTTTTGGCGGCAAGTTAACAATTTATTTTTACCAAAAAATTGACCTTCTATGTAGTTATACTTTTAAAGATAAATTTTTGAGTAGAAATAGATTGTTCACTTGCCGCCAAAAACACGTGTATCGTTATTTTTTTATTTTGTAGCTACCAAATGAGTTGCGGCAGGTTTATAATTGGCTAAATGGCTCTAAGCGCTAATGCTGTGGGTCAAAAGTTTAGGGCCACTTTTTAGTTCAAAAATCAGCAACGCTAGATGGCGCTGATTCAAATAATTATTACTTTAACTTATAGTAGAGCCATGTAGTCAATTATAAACTAGCCGCAACTACTTAAATAGATAGAAAATAACAAAGTTGACGTAATTAATGCTATGAGCGGCAAGTTTACAATCAAATTTTTTCCTGCGAATCGACCTCCAAAACCACAAATGTTCTACTTATCTTATTCGGCTTAGAAAATCGACTACTTAGTAATTATTACCATAAGTACTACTATTTTACTATTACTACTATTAATGATTTTTGTTTATACTAGGGTGCCTTATGTAGGGGGGGGGGGAAGGATCAAGATGACAATTGCATTGCACACACGTTTAATTGACTGACAAGAGATATCTTACGTTGTATTTAACCTGTTGTTATTATCTATGAGTAACGTGTTTGAATAAAGCAAATATAATATGAGAATGATAATGTTTTTGCGTAGCTCTGTGAAAAATTATGTTGGTGGGCATGCCATAGCAAACGTTTACTTCAAACTAAACATACATATTTAAACACTACTGTTGTGATGATAATCAGGAAATGAAAAACATCACGAGGTACCACACGAATTAATGTACTTTAAAAGAATGCAATGAAATTATATTCATAAAATTCAAGAATGTTTTATTTTCTGAAAAGTTCATGATTTCAAGTAGTACATCTTAAGGAAGTTACCAAGTTTTAGTTGTGTAAATGTGTGTCGAGGGAAATTACTGTTACTTAAAAAGCTATCTGTTTACTATAATTATTAAATTATTTTCCGATATTAGTAAGAATTACATATATGACATGTACGTGTGTACACTTGTTACCAAAAAAAAAAAAACTACAAGAAACTTATACAAGCTTTGGATCATCATCCATCAATATGTTTTCTTTGATTTTTTTCTAGCACATGAAAAATCGTGCGTGTTATCATCGGGTATATATAACTTCAATGAGTTGAACTTTTTTCCTTTTATTAATTCATGCAAATATACTAACGATTACATGGCTCTAGTGTCATTATTACAATTATTACAATTTACAGTAGAGCGATTTAATCGATTACAAACAAGCCGCAACTAATTTTATACATACTAAATAAAAATTTAACGTTGTCTGTGCTATTTGCGGCAAGTTTACAATTTATCTTTCACCTAAAATCTACTTCTAAAAGTATAAATATATAGGTCAATTTGTGGGTAAAAGATAGATTGTAAACTTGCCGTAAACAGTGCAAGCAATGTTAATTTTACATTTTATGTCTCTAAGGTCAGTTGCGGCTGGTTTATAATTGACTAAATGGCTCTACTATAAGTTAAAGTAATAATTATTTGAATCAGCGCCATCTAGCGTTGCTGATTTTTGAACTAAAAAGTGGCCCCAAACTTTTGACTCACAGCATTAGCGCTTAGAGCCATTTAACCAATTATAAACCAGCCGCAACTCATTTCGTAGCTACAAAATAAAAAAATAACGATACATGTGTTTTTGGCGGCAAGTTAACAATCTATTTTTACTCAAAAATTTATCTTTAAAAGTATAAGTACATAGAAGGTCAATTTTTTGGTAAAAAATAAATTGTTAACTTGCCGCCAAAAACACATATATTGTTATTTTTTAATTTTATAGCTACAAGATGAGTTGCGGCTGGTTTATAATTGACTAAATGGCTCTAAGTGCTAATGCTGTGTGTCAAAAGTTTAGGGCCACTTTTTAGTTTAGAAATCCGCAACGCTAGATGGCGCTGATCCAAATAATTATTACTACTTACAGTAGAGCCATTTAGTCAATTACAAACCAGTCGCAACTAATTTTGTATTTATAAAATAAAAAGTTAACATTGTTTGTGCTATTTGCGGCAAGTTTACAATTTATCTTTTACCATGTGGCGTTACCACACCTATGTAATTTTGTGCACTCGTGCGTGTTTTCATGCACTCATAATTGTTATTGTGCGCCCTTCTGCGTTTTTAAGTAGATACTCGACAACCCAATACCAACCCAACATAATAACATGAATACATATGTAGACATATGCATACATTCCTTGAAGAAATAATAATAAGCCTCTAGCCCTCTAGTCCCCTTCAACCCTTATCGACACTTATTTATTCATATACCTCCTATGAGGTCATGACGGAACTTTAAAAAATATATATATATGCATGTACATCCTCGTGAAACAACGCAAGTGCACTGCCAGATAAATTGGAGCCTGTGTGAGGATGAAAAAGTGAAGAGAAGAAAAAACGTTGCGCCCATTCATAGCCATGTTTGCATACATATATCATAAACAAACTAGAGTCGTTGAAATTGAGCCCATCAGATATCAATAAAGGGGTAATAAATATGTAGTAATATCTCAGTGTGACAGTACTGACAGTGACAAATCAGTGTCGGGTAGCTCGACTGCAGTTTGAATGATAGAACTCAGCATACCTATTGCAAATTGTAACAATTTTTATTTTTTAACTCTGAGGCTGAGGTCTGAGTCTGAGATTAAAAAATCAATGTCATAAGTCATAACTATCACTAAAAATACTACACTATTTGCATACATATATGTCTGATTAGATAACTCTCGTATCGAAAGGTATCGCAACAAAACAACACCTATCAGTTCTCGGTATGATTGTTCTTATCACAGTTCACGTGATTGCCTCCGTGTAAATTAATCCCAAGAGCTGATACTTATTAACAAAAGTTATGAATCAGCGGGCGGACATAACTTCTCAGTTTACGCTCGGTGGAGGTGGAGGCAACTGCCAACTGTTAACAGAACGTATTTCTTAATCAAGCTGCACCTGCAGTCATTGTCGCTGTAGATAGATATGCAGCAAAACTTGATGATCCTGAACATTGACAGCAGCAGCAGCAGCAGCAGCAGCACTACTTTTGCGTAAGTACCTACATATTATAAACACTCACTCTTAATTCTTTGTTCATAAGTGAGCAATTGTTTTAACATCACGGCATCCTTTTCTGTAAGACTGTGGTGTTGGTTCTAATTCTATTTATTTTCAGATTCCTGGATGTGATGAACAAACAAGTATTCTCCGACCCACCAGGAACTATCAGCTGTCCAATTGACACGTCGTGGGTTAAAAGTTAGCTCATTGCACTACCCTCATTCTGTGTCAATTACTAGTGCTTTTGTGTACATACATTGTCGAGAGAGAGAGAGAAATAGAAATAGAGATATTTCCTCTACATTGATATTGTACGATTATTCCGGCTGAATCATTGAGCTGCTTGTAATAATGGCACAGGAGGACACGAGGAATGCTGAGACGACGAGAGACAATGTCCTCAACAAGAGTTCGTGGAGTGAGGCTACAGAGAGTTGTGAAGAGGACAACAGCTGTCTGCTCGATGCCAACTCCCAACAGACCAAACAAAGGTATACTTTGTGGTTGTAGACTTTTTTAGCATGTCCTACAATGAGTACTTGCAATTCGAATTGTAATTTTGAATAAAAAATATCTTTAATTTTACCAAAAAATAATATTTTGTACATCAAGCAGTATTTTTCAGCCCTTCATTGTTCTCGTTGTGGGTCAAATGATTTTTTTTAAATCTTTGCTATCTGATTGTTACAGTAGTGCTGATCAAGGAGCCACAGATCATAATACTCGCCACACCTTGAAGTACATGCAGGATAAGATGCGCAGAAAATTGAGATTCTTTTTTATGAATCCTATTGAAAAATGGCATGCAAAGAGGAGATTTCCATACAAATTTGTCATTCAAGTCATAAAAATATTTTTAGTTACCATACAGTTGTGGCTTTTTGCTCACAATAATTATATGCATGTCAACTATGCCTGGGATAACAGGATTTCTTTTTCACATTTGTTTCTTCGAGGCTGGGATGCAACTCAAGAGGTATGTAATTTTTACACTTTTTACTTTTTTTTTTTTTTTTTTTTTTTTTTTCTGTGCAGCCCTATTTACCATTATTTTGAAAGATAAAAATACTTTGTCTGTCTACAAGTAAAAAATTAATCGTTATATACAGATAAGAACTTGAATTAGATTGATTATTGAGATATTACACATTTGTCAGGTAGATTGTTAGATATAAGTAACTGACAAGCATGATTGTATTGGAATATTTACAATAGAAATATTTAAGTAGTAAAAATTTTTGTTCAACAAAACTCAAATATGTTATACAATACATATTTTTACCCATACAAATTTTGAATTATGCAACCAAATTTTTATTCCATACATTTATGTGTGCGAGAGCTCCGCCCCTTGAACGCTTTGCACGTCAACATCATTATCAAAGCGTAAGCTTTGAACACTAACATATTGCTGCTATTTATTTAATTTCGACATACGTCAAATAAGTTTTTTGACAATAGTAATTGTTAATCTTTATTGAATCTGAAAATTTCAATTCTTTGTACGTTATTTTATTTAAAAGTTATTTTCTGGCTTAGTTTTATTATTTTTAAAATAGCACGTTCAAATTTATCCGCACTATACAAACCACATACCTAGCTAGTTTTGGCCAATGAGAATTCACGTAATCATAGAAAAAATAACGATAGGGACAATAGGACGGGAATCTTTTGCCTCTCCTGACTATTAAGTATACTATTTCTTATACATTAACTCATATTTATAAAAATTAACTACCGTTACACGGCCGAAGAATTACGTTATTACAGTACATTTCTTAACTAGATATTTTAAAACACATTTTTTACTATACACAGCACATATTTGTCGTACATAAATAGCTTTAATTTCGCAAAATAAATTTTTTTTTTTATGTCAGAGGTTCTTTTCCCGAGGAAAAAAAATACTTATGCCTTCATTGGGAACCCAACCTACGACATAGTCGACGACCCTATGACCGGTGTAGTTTCCGAGATCAATATGCTAACCACTGAACCAACCACCGCTCCCCGACCCCGACATAGTTGAGCAGAGACAAGCTGAACACACTCTCGCTCTCTGTTTGTCATTTTTTGATACTCTCATTAGATTATGCCTCAATCACATGGCGATTGTTTTTTAAAAACATAAATACTTGCTGGTTGAAACAATATATAATTATTACAGGTACCAGCGTACCCGCCTGCCACCGGACCCCTCGCTCTTTACAAAAAAGACGAATTTTACGAGACAATAGACTATGCCTTGGACGGATATTACAATCTTAGCAATGCCATCGGATCTTACTCGTACACTGCCGAGAACAATACCGTGGGTCGAGTCATTTTATGCCTGTACCACTATGAGCAGGGAATCATATTCGGCTTCAACGAGAGCTATATTTTCAACAGCAAGATCGACGAGACCTGTTTAAATATAACCAAAGAGGAGAGAAAAGCAGCTGGATCGAAAATTCTGCTGCACCAGAGCGACATTAAAGTAAATTTCTCGGCTCTAGTCAGGGCAGAGCTAAAATTTGCCGTCAAGACTGTAAACCTTAAAGTTGGCGGGTTGTTCTCACCGCCCGACTGCTACAAGTTCAAAATCAAAGTGATCCTCGACAACAAGGACTTTGACGGTCAGATGCTGCTGTCGCTCGACGCGGAGCCGATGCGACTTATCTGTCAAGGCGACACCCAATACATCACGGACAACCAGATCGAGTCGGCCCTGCTGACGGTACTGAATTTGCTGGTTATCGGTATTTGCAGTGTCTCGCTCGGGTTATGCTCGCGCGCTATCTACCGCGCCCAGCTGCTCAGACTGGACACGATGCGCTTCTTCAGGAGCGCTTTCGGCAAGGATCTCAGCCTCGAGGGCAAGTTCGAGTTCCTGAACCTCTGGTATGTGATGATCATCGTCAATGACATCCTGATAATCCTTGGCTCTGCCATCAAGGAACAGATAGAGAAAAAACAGTTTGGCAACGACCATTGGAACATATGCAGTATATTCCTTGGCACGGGCAATCTGCTCGTCTGGTTCGGTGTGCTGCGCTACCTCGGCTTCTTCAAGACATACAACGTAGTCATACTGACCTTGAAGAAGGCCGCTCCAAAGGTTGGGCGATTCCTCATCTGCGCGATCCTCATCTACGCGGGCTTCACCTTCTGCGGCTGGCTCGTTCTCGGGCCCTACCACATGAAGTTCCGTTCACTCGCCACGACCTCTGAGTGTCTGTTTGCCCTCATAAACGGCGACGACATGTTCGCAACCTTTTCCATCACCTCGTTCAAGTCGCCCGTGCTCTGGTGGTACTCGCGCATCTACCTTTACAGCTTCATCTCGCTCTACATCTACGTCGTGCTCAGTCTCTTCATCTCCGTCATCATGGACGCCTACGACACGATCAAGCTTTACTACCGGAGTGGGTTTCCCAAGAATGACCTGCAGTCCTTCATCTCGGATTGCACGGACGAGGCCTCAAGCGGCGCCTACATGCGCGACGAGTTGGACGATAACGGAGCTGACTTTGGAGACTTCATCGCGCGCATCTGCTGCTGCTGCGGTCGCGATCGGAAGCCGGCCGGTGCCAGCAGCGCATTCGCCGCATTGTCGAGCTCGAGCAGCAGCAGCGGTTTTGCCGGTGACTCGGGACAGGTCGGCTCGAGCTACATATGCATTTGATGGCCCGCGATTTAGCAACTGCCTCCGCTGTTGCAGCGATCGTGGCTTGGCCGTTGGCGGAGGGAGTCGGCGAGGAAACCGGCAACCTCTGTCATCTACGTTTAGACCGTACTATGGCTCGATGGATGAGCGCTCGCTTCCTCGCGGCTCTTAATCGCGGTGTTTTGGGTGAGAAACGATTGTTTTTGGTTTATTGTATTTTTTTATTCGATAACTGCCTCGAACTTTCGAGGCTCCATGTTACCACTGGCAAATTGCCTTGTAGAAAAATATTTTTTTAACAAGTGTGATGTGACCAAAAAATATTGATGTAAATAGATTTATACATATTAATTTTAATTATCGACGCTGACTTGGATTTCGATGTTCATGCAATAGCGATGATGTGTTTTGTCCAATTTAAGGACAAAGATAAAAACTTTACGTATTCTATGCGCTTAGAAAATTTAAACCGGTGTAAAAATTGATCTTGCTGGACTGTTGATAATAGCTTCAGAGGTCTTTGGTTACTCGAGAAAATATTTGCTCTCTTATTCGCATGAAATCCCCTACTTTGGACGTTCACTGCGCCCTCAGTTGGAAAAATTTTCTTTGCACTTGGTGCGAATCTAACCAGGGCAAGCACAAGGAGTTCCTCAGGCCCTGCTTTCCAGGTCCCTCGGGTTTGCTGCTTGTCCTGGTGACACGCACCACCAGATACGAAAATAATCATTTTTATTGATTGGCCGTCAATTTAGAAGCAACAAATAATTTTTTAACGTCCCTCTCCTTTATGTGTTTCCAATCGCAATCGCAAAAGTTGGATAATTATTTTATATGTATTGATCACCATATACGCACAGAATATTCCATAAAACTGGTTAAAAACTCTTTATTATGATGTGTTATTTAAAGTAAGATAGACAATCGATAATATAATATAAAGAAAAATAAATTATATAACGTTAAATAGTTTGAAAAACGCTTGGAAACTCCTTACGTGTTAGACTTTCCCTAAGTCAACTAGACATTGATCAAATTAAAACATATTCCTTTTAGCTGAATTATTAAATTCGTTGTTTTAATGAAACAATTGAAATTTATTTTATTTTATGAGAAATGTTTTTTTTTTTATTTCTAAAATTACTTATTAAGTACTACGATCGTGGAAGAGACGATGATTGTAAAAAAAATAAGAAAAAGAAACAAAAACCATATCAATTGTCAACAAATGACGTGTAATAAAGGTATTAATTCATAAATGTATTACTTGCAAGTCACAGTAAATAGTAAATATCAGAGAATATAGAGTATATTTATATTCTCTGATGTTTACTGATATATATATGTATACATATATATATATATTCTATATTCTACGTAAATATGAAATAAAAATATCATTTTGCAAACATAACCTCTTCCTCTGACGTTCTCTTAAATGTAAATATGTATTTATGGAAATTAGACAAGATTTGATAATTTTGTATACGTGATTTCACAACTTGATAGCAATTAGTGTTTCAGAAGCATAAGATATACGTAATGTTCTATTACGTTTCTAACATCGTTGGTAAAATTGTTGTCATTACATTTTTACTTCAGTAACAGTTTGAAGCCACTACATATAATGTTTCAATGTGATACCTACACTCCTCAAAATGGCGAGTAATGTTTTATTTAAGACACGCAATATGTATTACATGATTCTAATAAATAAGCCGAGGTCCATTGTTATTTATGTATCCCACAATGTATTTTATCATAAAACAATTTTTTAATCCAAGTACTCTATTTATTAAGTGTTATAAACATACTTATACTTAAAAAATTTTGTATAAAAATATTTTATATATTTATATGTGTCCAAAATATTTTTTGCACTAACAGAGAATATACTTTTTTTTAAACTGTTTTACAAGCTGATAAAAAGTAATTTGTTCTATAAAATAGTTGTAATCAAAATACGAAATATTCAAAATAGTACGTGAATAATATTTATTACATTGCAGCTCTTAGATCATATTGTAAATGTGAAACGGTTTTCTAAAGAGGCCATATACACTAATAGTATTTTTAGCAACCGAATTAAACTCTTCTCAATAAATACCATGTAGTTTTTTAATGTGTAACTAATAGTAATAAAATGTGTATATACTTGATTTCAGTTTCGTTGGTTTTCCTTATTTAGTTTTTTTTTTCTAACACCAAGAGTGCAGTGTATGTCAGAGATTTGTTGCTTGTTTTATGTGTGTAGAACAATAAATTTATTGAAAATGTCTTGCGGACTGATTGCATGTGTAAATAAAATATTAAACTCATATGATTGAATGGGCATTTACGTATATATATAAAAACTCACATGTCTAATAAACACCAAATTTTCGCGAAATTTTTTCATGTTCGCATTTAGGTAGTCAATAAAAATTATCGATAGGACGACAGAAACACCGCATCCTGGAATCGAACTTCAAACATCTTTTTTACTGGAATTTTCATATTATTTACCCACAGTCATAATCAATGACAGAGAATCAGAAAGTGAAAAAGGTATGATACAAGGACCGAGGCATAAAAGGCTGATTAACAAAAATATATTCATAAAATCAATTAGCTAAAAAATATCCTAATTTTTCTTATGTATTCCAGACTTCGTTTTTTACGTTTACAAAATTATCATTCCCCTGAAAAGTGGTGCTTAACCAGATTCAAAAATATATTAGAAGTCAGGCCATATTAACCATAAAAATGAATTGAAACTTGATAGACGTATTAAAGATTATACATAAAAATAATCAAGAAGATACCGAAATATTTTACCTCTATATCAAAAAATTATCAAAAAATTTTTACTTGTTAGCACGTACTCAAATACAAGCATGTAGGAGCTAAAAAATACCGACAGCACCATGAAATCGAAATCAGATATCAAAAGTCAAATGTATAAATAAAATGAATTTTCGATAGAGAGATTGTACGTGTACCTCAATGGAAGAGAGTATAATTTTAAAAATGTATTATAAAAACGTATTGATTAAAAAATGTACAATAAAAGGCAATAAGCATGCTGAAGAAAGAGGGGGGATGTTAAACTTCGATTGGAGATGTAGATAACATGAGTTTTAGAGAAAGAAGACGTTCAAAGACACAAATAAAATCATTATACGCGCAGTAGCTTTAAAATAGAAGAAAGAAAATAGAGAATAGACACCAAGTTATTGAAGCCTCATATGGGAAGAAAAGGAAAAACAATTCGTAGTTACAGATCAAAGATATAGAGGCATAAATTTAATTTTTTGAATTCTGTCATGATAAGATATAATATTAAAATTAATCATGTGAAACATAAATCATTCAAGATAAACTACGAAATTCCTTATTATAATTTTTTCTAAAGATTTTTAAAAAGTATCAATTTTTATTGTTAATTCAATAAATCATCCTCAGATAAAATTGACTATCGCCCAGTGCCAATTTTAGTTTGACATTTTTTAATCGCACTGTATCCCTGCAACTTTTGGTCTGTCAACCTTTTCCGATCAAAACCTTTAAAGTACACTCTAATAGGATTGAGAGCTTATTTCGTGGCTAGCTACCTTTCCCCACCTTTTTCTCCGTTTTACGAAATAACGAGATAATCCTTCTTCAGGAAGTTACTTGCATGAGTTTCATATTGTTGGTTGAAAAAGGCGTTGAAAAGCAAATAAGTGAATTGCATATCCAGTAATAATGAGAAGTATATTTATTAAAATTTTCTGCTGGTATTACGCTTCAATACTTATTTTTGATACATGTAACATCATACCATCACACATAATAACATCTGGAGCGATATAACCAAGACAATACAATTTTAGATTTGGATAAAAATAACGTGGTTCAATAAGATGAAATTTACATAGAGATAGAGTTTGCGAAACAGAGTAAAAAATACAGACCTATACACTAATTGTGCAACATTTAAACTTGCGTGGTAAATAAATTTTCCGTTGAAAAATTAATTTTTTCTTTCGATACTTATATTTAATAGATGGTTTTAAGCCGGAGTAAGCAGATATATTCTCATTCATAGCTTATCAGTTGATTATCTTATTGGGGCTAATAATTAAGATGATTAACCTTTGAAGGTCATTTATTCTTAGTGCGATTAAATTATAAGAAGAGATTTCGGTATCTATTAGTAAGATGGGGTCGATTCAGTTATTCAAAGATGCTTCATATCAGCACCTGTTTGCGCCTGAATAATGACATGATACATTTTATTGTTTACTATCGTTGCGCTGCATCTGATTCACGTAGACTATTTATTAAAAAGTATAAATTATTTATGTCATTTTCTTTTTTCCCACACAGTCCATCAGACCTTGGCATAATACATCTGTTTCAATAAATCTCTCTCTCTCTCTCTCTCTCTTTCTCTTCGTTAGATCCCGCATGTTCAATAGCTTCAAAGCTGTCGCCGGTGGCTCGTTTGTCAGAGTGTAACTGGCTTTCGTATACCGCGGCCGTGTTGTATCGTACTAGACAAAAGAACCGAGGGGCTGCACACTTTTGGATTCATTAAAAAAGACTGCAAAAATAATTTAAAAAACCTCAGGATTATTGTCGAGACTTTCAAACGCGTAATCCATCGGGTGTAAAAAATTTTTTGTGATATTAAAAATTAACAGTGACAAACTAAATGTCCGTTTGATTGATTCTTCATTATTACTCATACTAACTGTTAGCTTTTAATCAATACACCCACAATGGAAAGCCAATAGAGGTGGCTTTTATAAATTTTAGTTCATAATATTATCAACAAAATGAGTGTATCACAGAACTTTATTGTAATACATCTGTGCTATTTCAGTGTCTACCATTTTTAATTTATAATTTGTCAAAATTCGTTATCAGCAATCACAAAAATGCCAATCCTTGAATTTTTATCACGGACGTATTTTGCGATCAATATTTAATTGTTTGAATAATGCCCAAGATTCAGCAATAATAACATTTAACCGAAGTAGTTCGAAAGTTGTTAAGAAAGGCATTGATTCAGGAAGAATCCCTCCAAAGTAGGGTTCTTTATTTCCCCTAAAACTTTGTAACTGAGATTCTTATTACCTTGAGTTGTTATTGATTGTACGACTGTAATTTTTGAAACAGACTCGCAAAAGAAGAGTTATTGTTTACTGTGAGACAATTTGTTGTAAGATACAGTACTGCGTGTGCTTTTTTCGCTCAATAGCACAAGGTAGCTGAAAAGGCAAAACAAGATGTAAATACACAGGTGATGATAATAATAATGCACTAAATAATCGAAGAATTTGAGCAAGATTTATATAAAAAGTTTGAATTACCGAAACAAGTTTGTTTGTAATTTTTTGAAGACTCAAAACTTTGATTCAGAGTATACTTGAATCATTTCTTTTTTTTTTTTTTTTTTTTTTTCAACATCGCACATTACTCTCAATCCAATGAATCAAACCCTCAAACCCCAAATTACGTATCCCGTGATTTATATCCTACTCAGCAAAACGAAACCCCGAAACATTCACAGCCCTAATTTGACCGATTGCCGTTTCCTCTATGGAAAACAATAAAACACACAACCCGCGTGCAATCAATAAAACTTCCGACGCGATTGACCAACAAGCAAAGTGACGGGTACAGCTCAGCCGGTACATGCACCCCTCCATTAACTACTCGAGCGAAGCGCAGCTATAAATATAACTCATCCCCGTTTCCTCCATGGCGAGTCTACGAGGGCGCGCGTGTTTTCGTACCTCGCTCGAAATAGCACCCTCTCGGAGGATGCATCGCTCCCTCTTTCACTCTCTCGAACCCCCACGGCCGAGAGGGATGGAGACAGTCGGGCGGTAGTAGCTCCCTCCCTCCCTTCCTACGCTCTACCCACAGAAGGGAGAGAGAGAGAGAGAGAGCCACCCACAGTAGCGCTAGCAGCAGCGGTTCATCCCTCGCGAACTTTCCCTCAGTCTTGGCCCGGTCGCGCTTAGTACCACGTGCACCCCGTAGTGTACACCGCGGGAGCGAAGCTCTCTCTCCCTTGCATCGCCGTGCGATTGCTCTCAATTTATCTTCAACGTCAAAAGGTGGACCAAAGAGCTCCGTCGAGCAACGCCAGGATCGAGGAATCGCTCGTTGCATCGATCCTGTGGAGCGTACTCTCCTCGACAGCGCCGTCGGCGACCACAGCGGCGACGTCCGACCACACGTTGATACGTACTACTTGCTCTCGTTGCTGAGATCTGGATATATAATCTACGCCGACGCTCCAGTTTTCCGTGCCACTGCCGGAGGATCGACTGCGCACACACACACACACACACACACACACACAAAAGTCAGGTAGGTCCTTTGTCATGCCTTCCGTTTTTCAATTTGCCTTTCATCTTCTTCCCCTCCTCGTTTGCTCGAGATGAGGAACGGCGGGCGAAAGGGGCGGGTGACGTTACTTGTTGACTTGTGCCATCCGCGCATGGATACACACTCGTTCTCTCTTACGGCTGCTCTTTTTTATCCCTCTATTTTTCGTCCTTTTCCGGGATTTACCCTTGTTTGTCTCGCAGGCGACGTAGATATTTATGAAAATGCCTTTCCCATGTACCTCGTGTTCCGTTGACGTATTAAAAGAGTGATATCAATTTCCCGGAGGGTGAGTGGCACATTTTCGAAATTGAATCGTTAGAAAGATTTTCTTCTTCTTTTTTACTAAAATTTTAGTTCATTCTTATTTGCCCACGTTTCTAAAGTCCATTAGGATTACAGTAGATTACGGGGTAACTCTGGGAGTGGTTTCAACTGTTGCGCTGTAGGGAGCTCGTTAAGCATCGGTAGGGCAAGATCAAGTTCAAGAAGAGGGCGCGTTGATGTATTGACAAAGTTAATTGGGCTGTGGTTGTTTAAGACTCGATTTGACGCTCTAGCGGATATAGTAGTGCTGTCAGCCCCAAGTGCTTCTGTAATCAAAGGAAATATTGGAAAAACGGATGTTGCTTAGGTTTACTGCTTTTTTTTTTTTTTTTTTTTTATTCTGCAAAATAAAATTTTTACTCCGAAACATGTTTAAATTTATTGTTCTTGGCGAGTATAGCAATCTAATAATTAAAATTAAAAAATTGTATAAAATAGATTTTAAGTAGCCCTTTTCTTAAGACAACGCCGTAATCATATAAAAAAACGCTAGAAACAGTTAACTCGGTTAATCAAGAATCTTATTTTTTTATAATACATGTAAGGTATAGTTGACAGAGAAGAGTAGGAGATCATCAACACAATTTCACTATAAGAATATATATACTATAGTTTAAAGTTTAAACTTTATCAACTTGTATGAGATTTTATTGAAAAAGGTATTAAATTGACTTCAACACCTTAAAAATAGAGGTTAAAAAAAGTTTTGGCATAAAAAATTTTCGATAACAAAGTCATTAAAATGACCCACTATAGGTACATCTACCTAATGAGACCCCTGTTATTTTTTCCTATGCTAAAAACTCAATGTTAATGCTTTTTTTATATAAAAAAAAAACTTGACCGACGACAAACGTCAAAAATTCTGGCAGGTTCCCGAAACTGTAAAGATACATACAACATTATTGTAACAATGTTCTCAAAACAAGTTTTACGTAGAGGAAACCACATACAAACTGAGATTATCATTGTTTTATGTAATACACATTGTATGCACGTGAACGCGTTCAAAAGGTATAAAAATAAAATGAACTAGGTGAGTTGGAAACGGAGGTTCCGTCATTAATTCACTCGACTAAAATGAAGTAACATTCGATCGTCGCGGTTGGCCCCCCAAAGGGCAGAAAAGCAATTCACGTCGTTCCGAACAAAGCCAGAAATTTTATTCAGTCTTTAGAATGCGCGATAGTTTTTAAAATTCATTCGCACCGAGGAGAGGTGGAGGGCGGAGTTACTGCGCGCAGAAATTTACACGTACGTGTGCTCGGGTATTTATCAGTGGGCAACTCATGTAGACTGGGTTGAAAAAGCTCGCCCTTGTGCTTAACTCATTTCATGCAGGGCCGAATCAAAGCGGCCACGATTCTTTTCACCGCCCCTCGCGAGTCGGGGATTTTCATGAAGTCAAGGCTCCTACAAAGCTGAATAAAATTGTCGAGTTGGGGCTGAAAATGAGAAAGTGTGTCGAATTAGTGCCGAGAGATTGGCTCCTATACTTTTAATTAGCGTGGAATTCGAGTTTGGCAATTAGTGGATTTTTTTTAATTGTTATCGAAGCGACAAGTTGTAAGAAAACATCTATTATCCTAGTATCATTTTCCTAGAATTTTAATGATTAATCCATTTCATTTTTGTAAAATGTCAACTCCAGTGTTAAATCGAGAAAACTTTTTAAAGTAGATTTATTTATTGTCTTCATTGGTAAGGGATATCTATGCTTTGTTAATATTATTTCACCAGCTATCGGTAAAACGGACAAATATTAATCTAATGTACATTCAATTGCTAAACACAAATATATATATATATATATATATCGTTGTGTTTGTTCAATGCCACATTTTTGTGTGCAAATGAAATAAAACGTTTTATCTATCATTAAACTTTGGAAAACTTTTACGTTGTGAATTTAATCTCTGTGCGCTGTAAGGCAACTAAAACTTGCTCCATACATCATTGGAAGCAAGTTTACTTTGACAATGCGAATAATAGCATTACTTACTAAATGGCCAACTTCCATAGAATTCCACTTCTAGTTATCTGTCGTATCTTTTATACATTATTAGAAGTAGAATGATCATGGTATTTATACCTATCGAAGAAGATTTTGTTGAACATTATAATGACAAATATGAGAACGTTATTTCATTTCAATTAATCAAGAGAACGATGATACTTTTTTACAGCAATAACTTTGAGTTATTCATATTATTTTAATTTATGACTTTTTATGAACAATATGGAGAACATAAGCAGTTATATCAATAGCCTGCTCTACACATACAATTTTTTTTCACAGTATTTCAAACATTAATTAAAAACGTAAGAGCTTCAGATTTGGGTAAGAAAAATACACCAGAATATAATAGATTGTATATCTAATATAACGATAAAAAAACTTAGATCCAGAAATACATGAAATTCAATGATGTACAAAACTGCATATTTTTATAGTTTTAGACATAATACACATTTTCTAAGTAATTTTGAAAATCTACCCTTTGTCAAAAATATTAAAAGCTCCTTTGAGGTTCTTCATTTCTACTGTTTTTAATTTCCAACGAGACCGTGCTGAAACAAAAGTTACATTTTTAAGTCATTTTTTAATAAATTTCATCACAAAATTTGTTCTTGTAAATTAAAAACGGCGCAAAATAATACACCACCCCCACTGTTTACAGACACGACTATTTCACACTGATTTATGTCCCGATACTTCGATCAAAATAAGACCCGTTTGAAAACTAAAATTCAATTTATTTTCGAATGATACGCACAACCAATGACTTTTCGTGGAATCGAATCGCCTTCTATATATACACGTATGCACATAACGACTGCATACTGACCTATTTCCTCTTCATACCAAGGTGTACGTAGGTTCGATCAATTTCGGTCGACCGGCGATTGATTCGGCTGATAGGGTTCGCTTTATCCCAACGTGTATATCCGAATCGGAAGTCGAAGGAACCGGCTGCGGGCTCAAGAATCTAGCTCTCGGTCGTACACGTATACGGCACAGTGCGAGTCTGATGGGTGAAGGGGTGTATATAGGGAGGGCGGGCCCAGGAGAGGGAAAAGCAGGGCAATCAGCTGCTTTCACCGTGTAGCTTAGCACTTCACGTACACGGCACACTATTCCTTGTACACTGTATACCTACTCCCCGCCCTGTGTTTGCCCGTTTCGTTAAAGCGCAAGAGCTGCTATTGTTGTTGTTCCTGTTGCCGTGTGCTTCGGATCAGCATACTTAATCAAAAGAACAAGAGTCAATCTTGGGCTTGCACCAACCCTCTAAATTGAAAGCTGTGTTGCTCGCTGAATTTTCAAGCAGCAGGAAAACAGTACGTTTTACATTGACGGGCTTCTCGCGGGTAATCGAATTAAGGCTTATTTGCGATCAACCGATTGTGTTCAATTATGGTAACTTCCCCTCACTAGAAAGCGACGTTTTTAAAACGATGAGAGAAAAAATTGAAAAACCTTTCTGGAAAAGTCAAATTTATACAATCACGCATCATGCTGCAATCAGACTCGGTTGTTCTTATCATTATTTTGTCATCGATTGAAAAGGTCATAATTCAACGATTACCTTATATAGTATTCAAATACTTGAGATTTTTCCCAAACTACGAAATAGTCTCGACTTTCCAGGTAATTTTTTCAAATTCGTCAATTTCTTGTTCAACGAACACAAAGTCACGTAGAAAGCTAACGAATCTGAATGAAAATTGAATAGAAAAAGTTTTCGTCTTTTCGTGTACGACAATACGGGGATAAGTCGTCCGCTGAAAAATCACAAACTCGCACGTGATTTAACCCATAGGTGGTGATGAAAGAGGGGGATGAAACTTACGGCTGGAAAAATACCAGAGTGGAAAAAAATGGATCGATCGGTCGATAATTGAGTTAGCAGGGCGTTAGAACCGATTGACGTGCAGTGATTGGCCGGAAACTACGCATGTTTTACAACAAAAAGGCTCCCGACGAGTCGCAATTGAATACCGTGGTCGTCGATTTTCGCGAAGCGGAGGCTGGTCGTGCAATTTCCGCAGCGGCCATATCTGTATTTACGTACACGCGGAGGAAATCGGCAGCTGTCGCCGTATCAGAAATTGCGTAGCATCGGCTACTGCGCTATTTTATAACCCGTTGACTATACATAATTCATGTATGTGTGCACAATGCACGGTTATACTCTCTACGTGTGGTTATAGTCACCGCGTCGAGTGAGCATCGATCTCCTTCAGGGTTATGCGAATATCCCCCTGGATACTGCAGCTGTGTATTTATACGCCTTGCTACGGGTGAGCTTTAACACGTCTGTTAATCGAAGGAAATAATAATAGTCGTATGTGGCTTTCTAAAATCTGGTAGTCAAATGAGAAGTGCATTTTTTATGTATGCTCTACAGTTATTTACTTTTTATTATTACCTGCGCTATAGTTGCCTCGTAAATAATTAAATGGTGACGTATTATCGTGAGAATAGTTTACACAAGCGAGAACCACCAAACGCTTTTTTCCAGTATGAAAAATTATTTTTTTCTTTTTAGTATACAAATAACAAATTTTTACCCAACAAATATTTGTTAACTGTTTGTGTTCATATATAATGGTACGATAAATTGGTCGAAATAAAAATATACAAGTTAAAGCATAATAATAGACATCCAACAATGATAGTGCCAAGATGAAGTACGTGAGAGTATATACGTATGATACACACAATATTCCTTATTTCATACATTATCTTTTCTGGATTCATAAATTTCGCCAGTACAACTCCTCTTAGCCCTTACATGCACCAAATCGATGTTTTTACAAAATATTTCTGAGATTTTCAATGACGCCCCATAGATTTTCATCAAGGTTTTGTGGATAGTATTAGTACACTACAGGTTTAAATATTAAAAATACGCGACACTCTATATTTATAAACGTCATGTTAATCATCAAAAATCCAAAATATCAGTAACGTTTTTCACGTGCACCCGAGATCCAACAAATTTCAACAGATCTATTGTTCGACAAACATTGACCTATGTTTATGATTTATTTCACATCTTGTAGGTCAATCGATATAAGACAATACTACCTTAGGTGAAAACCAAGGGTTTTGCTGGAAGATTAATATTTTATAGTAATCCGCTCTACTTACATAATACCTCGATACACCCTGACAGAGGACTATTTATTTTTAATAGTGTGTCTTTTGTAAAATTATGCTTGGAATAAATCTTGATACCATATATTAATTTCAACTGTATTAATTAATAAATTAGTTTGTCATTTTTCTTTGGTGATAATCCGAAAGAGAACAAGGATATTTTTGCCAATCTATTGATTGCAACAGTAGTCGAGATAAATAACCCCAAAAAATTTCTTCAATACAAATGTAATTAAAACATCGAATCTCTATTATGTTTACAGGCCAGTAAAAACAAGAGAATCGGTGAAAAAAGGCAATTATCCTATCTCAAGCTTTCACGATAGTCACCAACGGCGTCGTCACCATAAAGGTGGTCAGACGGGCTGAATAGCACAAGCAGCCAGCAACAGCAGGCAGGGGCATGCCTGACCAGGAAGGCGAGGTGCCGAGCATCGTCGAGCTCAACGTGGGCGGGGTCTTTTACACGACGGCTCTGAGCACGCTGACCCGCGAATCGGACTCCCACCTCGCAGCCATATTCCAGGACAAGCTGAACCTCGAAAAAGATGCCAAGGGCAAGTACTTTTTGGACCGGGATGGCGTGCTGTTCCGCTACGTCCTCGACTATCTGCGCAACCAGGCGCTCGTATTGCCCGAAGGGTTCCGGGAACGCGAACGTCTGAGGCAGGAGGCCGACTTCTACGGACTGGGCAACCTCGTTAAGGCTATACAAGAGCAGGAGTCCGGTCCTACGTCTTTGACGGTATGTTTTCTATTTATTTTTTTATTTTTTTACTTTCTATTTTTCAAACATGGGCATGGGTACTACGAGGGCTGTGATTTGTTTTTGAAATTTTTTTTCACCCCCCCTACCACATGCATAAATGATGGAAAGGAAGTGCTTACCTACATGTTCGAATAGTCTGCCAGGCTGACAAAAATCGCTGAAGTCTATCCCAATGTACTTATAATTTGAACATGTAAACTGTACTCTTGATGCATATATATATATATATATGCAGTAAAATCCCCACGTGTCAATTAAACCGTGTACNTATATATATATATATATATGTATAAAAGCTGCGAATATAAAGTGACAACTATAGTTGTGTATATTCAACATAATAGAGATAATATTATTGTTGTCCAGATTACCGGGAATTCCCATTGCGGATAAAACTTGTATAATAAATCACGTGTGGTCCATCCGTGGAATTGCTAAGTAGAAGCAATCTGACCTTTTTTCGCTTCCGGTTCATTAGCCAAAACGATCAATAGCGGATACTATTGAATACTAACTGAATAAACTTTTAAATTGATGTTGTTGAATAACTTCATTTTAAAATGTATGATCTTTGATAGATATTCTATTGTGTATAATAAATGTTTTCACCTTGAGTACTTTACGAAACCAATAACATCAAGAAACCAAATGAGGATACAAGCAATTGTTAAACAAAATTCAAAATAAACAAATAAAGAAAGCTGCATTGGTATTTAGTTACTTTTTCCTACAAAACTTTTGTAATATATCCTTGGCCAGGATTAAAAGATAGTTCGGTGGGATGCAGTTATCCCTTTAAAACGGTGAATTTGCTTTTTACTCCGGTATTTCTCGGCCACAGAAACAAATTCCTTTCTGACCGTCAGATTCTTGGTTAATAGCTTAGAAATGCTTGGAAAGGGCCAGAAATATTTTCGCCGCAAAACTCGTACCAGTCGTAAACAAAATTACCTGTGAGATTTAAATTACGATTTTTTGAGAATTTAAAATATTTTTTTATTTTAAAGTTGAAGATTTTCGCGATAGCTAATAAAATTAAGTAAGTAAAAACTCAAGCAGGAATGCAATCGACTGATTAAACTCTTTTATTTTGACACTCGACGGTTTCAGCCTGAGATATCTTTGAATTTATATCTCCGATCAGGTTGATACATAAGCAAAATAATTAAATAATTATTTAGCATTATCATATGATATTTTTTGTTTTGTATCTATTAATTTTATTTCGAATTGCTTTGAAAAAGCATATACATGATACTATACTCACATCACTTGTTTAACATCTGAGAATCACCTTGCATAAAAACCTACGCTTACAGTTGTAAGACTTGCTTTATAGATCAAAATAGATTGATTGTGTATGCTTTGGCTGTAAAAAATTTTTACAAATATTTTGGCATCGTTGATAATATTTTTTAAAGAAATAAGTAATTACATGATTTTAATCAGCGTGTTTAGTAAGCTACAATTTTTACAAAGCAACTATGTTTTAAGCTTAAAAAAAAATTGAAATATCATGGCGAAACAAAAACAGTGGAGAACTAGAAAATTCCACCGCTGTACTCAAACCATAAAAAATGGCGCACCTCATGACTTTGAACGGCAAAGAAGCCCTATCAAACTCTATGTCTGTGTAACTATACATAAAACACCCTCTGGTGTTAAACAAACCTCGTAACTTAAGTAAAACACTATAGTATACTTATATCCGTGGAAACATCTGTACGCTAAGAATATCATGATTTTAGCATAAAGAAAAACTTGCCCGCTTCAGAAACGATAATACCCAACTGTTGAGCTTTCCATTCACTTGCTCGTAACGGAGACTTTCTTCATAAAATTTTTATCAGATCCTTACAGTTCACGCGCTACTCCAAAACGGGCGCCCTTCCAAGCTCCATAGCCAAGAAAAAAAATCATTTCCAGAGCATATAAATACACGCTTCACTCACCCGCACAGCCTCACCCTTGAGCACAACTATCTGGTTTCCCCATGATTTTCCGCGTACGCGAGCTTCACGGGATTCCATCATCGTATCCCACTCTCGGCGGAAATTGTCCCGTACCCTGGGAAACCTCCTCCGCGACGTGAAACATACACTCGCTGGTCGTCCTAATTTCAAAAGAAAGCTGGTTGCCCGTGCACGGCTGTCGTAAAAAACTTTGCGAAAGCTTTATCCTTCCGCTCCGACGTTAAAGTTCGGAGTGGAGCGGGAATAAAAGCGCAGTTACGGAGTCGGCAACCGTTTGCCTAGAAGGAGTCGCTTGCCGAGCAGTTTGAGGCTCTTTATGACACTCGCTGGTATATACCCCGATCGGGACTTTACGAGCACTTGCGCGCAGAATCGGGTATGTTATCATCGCGACAGATGCTGGTGATTCTCAATGCGTTTCTCGAGCTTTTTGTTACCCGAGCGCATATACGCACGATGGCGCTTTTGGGATGCTCGTTTGGATGCCCGACGATTTTATGGAATACCGAATTCCCGATGAAAGCATACCTCGAGGAACTTTTCGCTTGGGGTATGTTTTTGAGGACTCTTATCGCTTTTACGCTGCTCTGAGAATCTCTTGCAACATACACAGTGAAGCAACGCTCACTTAGTTGATTATCTACGAATGATGATGAGCGTTGAGTTAAAATTTTATAGAAAATCCTGATTATTAATAACATTTCAAACTTAAACAATGCTCATTGGCACACCATATAAAAAAGTATCATTACAGGGAGTCCATCGTGATTCTTGCACACACGTATGTGTTTCTGCACAAATTAAATTCAAGGAAAAATACTAAGGCTGTCAATCGGGTATACTATTTATTTATACACTTTTTGTCCTCATAAATATTACAATGGTTAAACTTCAATTCAATTAAAGGAAAAAGCGTCGAAATACCGCTTTAGTAGATTGAATTAAGATCCGTGATTTAATTATTTTTGCTGTGTACATTAAAAAAAAGTTCAAGGGCACGAACTTCAGGCTCTTTGAAACTATTGTAACAAAAACAAAAATACCTCCCTTAAATGTAAGCCATGCGAAGATGCAAAAGAAGAAGAAGAAGTAGAAGAAAAAGGATCAGATTTTCCCTGCAAGGGCGAGCATTCGCGTGTTCCGTCAAGATTATTAGGCCGAAGGCGCACTTGAACTACAAGTACTGGCAGCAGTCGTTAGTAAAGTAGTAGGCGAGATTGACGAGGAGGAGCGTCAGGGAGGGGTATATTTGTATGTATGCACACGTATGTATATATGGATGTGTATGTGTACTGATGTGTTTGACTCGAGTGTGCGTGCGAGAGCTGAGCCAAGGACGAGTTAGTACACGTTGTATGGGCAAACTAAAGCCCCTTTGGCTCCGTAACGCGGGCTATCGGACTCTTTATTCAGCCGCTCATGTGTATGAATGTACTTGTAAATCACGAGACACGCACGGGTGGATCTGAAGTGCTTTGCCAAGGTTAATTGCTCCGGAAACTACGAACCCTGCCCTATCTGCTCGGCTAATCACGGATCCACGCGCTTCTTCTTCCTCGCTTGTCTTTCATTTCCTCTCACGGCCGATTTGTTAATGACGTGCGTTTCGATGCGGATACTATTTTGTGTTATACATCGTTATAATACCTTGTCACCCACCAAATTCTTAGACATTTCTAACAGTCCTTAATACTCACAAGATGAGTTTTTGTGCTGGAGCTTTTTGTCACCTGTACTATAGCATGTGTGTGTATGTGTGTGTGTGCATATTTCAAGTCTTTATTGGCATACCCATTGAAACCAAAAAAGGAATCTAATTGGATGATCTGTGCTTGTACAGGCTGTGTGCTCCGTTAATTTAGAATTATTGGACAAAGCCTAAGTGGGCTATGAGGGCTTAATTATATCGTTATTAAACGGTTTGAAAAAAATTTAATTTAAAGTTGTATGACTATAAGCTACTGTAGATTAAACTTTCAGTTACGTCATTGGGAGAATGTTAGGTATGTAACAGATTAAATTTTGAGATCGGACATCAACTTACAAACTTTAGTTATCAAAACCAAATTTTTGTATCGTCTGACCTGAGACGGACCTATACTACTTACGCTGATGCTGTTCTCAATAGTTTTAATTAATGTTTAAACAATATTATTTAGATTGTATTACATGAATATACACATCATTTCGCACAAGCACAAAAAGAATTGTGATGTCTGACCAAAGGGGTCTAATACTACTTAAAATCGCGTAGTGAAGACACTTGTCTGTATATTTCCATTTCTCGTTTTAAGGTGGATTTTTTTAATTAGATTTTCAAATTGTGTTATTGAGAAATAAAAAATTCTAACTTAAAATTTTGAGATCGGACATCAACTTACAAACTTTAGTTATTAAAACCAAATTTTTGCACCGTCTGACTTGAGACGGACCTATACTACTTACGCCGATACTCTGTAAACGTTAGAGAAATATTGTTTTCTCAATAGTTTTAACTAATGTTTAAACAATATTATTTAGATTGTGTATTATATGAATATACACATGATTTCGCACAAGCATAAAAAGAATTGTGATGTCTGATCAAAGCGGTCTAATACTACTTAAAATCACGTAGTGAAGACAGTTGTCTATACATTTCCGTTTCTTGTTTTAAAGTGGATTTTTAAATTAGATTTTCAGATTGTGTTATTAAGAAATAATAAATTTTAACTTAAAATTTTGAGATCGGACATCAACTTACAAACTTTAGTTATCAAAACCAAATTTTTGTATCACCTGACTTGAGACGGACCTATACTACTTACGCCGATGCTCTAGAAACATTAGAGAAATATTACTTTCTCAATAGTTTTAGCTGATATCTAAACATGAACATTATATAGCAAAAGCGTTAAAAGAGTTGTGATGCCTGATTAAAGTGGTCTAATACTACTTAAAATTGCATAGTGAAAAATACTTGTCTCTACATTTCCATGTCTCGTTTTTAAGCAGATTTATTAATTAGATTATGGGATTATATTATTGACTAACTTATAATCTAATTATTTCTGATATTGAATCTCAATTACCGATTAGGATAAAACATTTTCCATAATATTGCAAAATTATTAATCTAGCCGAAGCTTTTATAAAAACATTGTATTACAAAATTACAACATTACCCAGATTTAAAAAATACTTGAAATTAACTTCAAAATATTCATTTTATAAGTAATCTAATAAGACGTAAAATAAAATGAAAATTGTTTTTCTTATCCGTATATGTTATTTTAGTTATAAATAAATTTACTCTACAAATCATATACTATACGACGAAACATACGTTAAGCTTAATAAACACGCCTCTTATCTCTTACTCCACTAAGTGTTCTTAAATCACGATTAGGCTACCCCGTAACGCTAATATGATCACATAACTATACATCGAAATCTCTCTTATCAGCTGGCACTTAGCAGTTATCTTTGATTAACGTACGGCTCTAACGGACATTGTCGAATCAAGTAAATGGGATGTATTGCTTTGCAGTGAGCTGTTAAAATTAGTGTTTATCAACAATTATTACAATTTTCAAATGTATGAAATGTTGTCACTGTTCCTAAATGAACAATAGTATGTTCTTTTCAAAATTCAGCCAAAACGTGTTCAATATTAAAAATTTTGACTACTCACCTGTTTACATAATTATATATTAAAATAAAAAAAAAAAAAAAAAACAATTTTATCAATAAGAATAGTTTTTCTTATAAATGTCTTGTTAACTTTGCAAAATATTTAGTTTAGCAACAAAAAATATCAGTCAATTGGATAAAAATACCACTCTTTTGAGGAAACTCAAAACCAAGCTCTGTCACGACTTAAACTTTCTAAATATCTTGTATCTTAAAATTATCAAATTACCAAACAGTTTGAAATGCTGATACCGATTGTGCAAAGACGAGAGCCTGTTTTTAAGTACTGCTACAAATACAATTTAGATGAGAAGCTGTCAGGTATACATGCCACGATGCCTTTATCAAAGTGCTCATTGGTAAAACCCTTCCTGTACCAATTACTGTATCGAATTCAACTTATTTGTATACTCTTTATTTTAAATAACAGTAACAATACTGCATTGTTGCACACGCACAAGATGAAAAGCAGTAACAATCACGCACCCATAATGTTTTGCCCTATCTAACATCCTACTTGACTCGTACTGTAATAACAAAATAAAAAAAAAAAAAAAAAACTTTCCAACAGCAGCAGCAGCAGCAAAAGAACGGCTTCATAACGGTGGGCTACCGCGGCAGCTTCGCCTTCGGCCGGGAGGGCCTGTCCGACGTAAAGTTCCGCAAGCTGTCGCGCATCCTGGTCTGTGGCCGAGTAGCCCTCTGCCGGGACGTGTTCGGCGAGACGTTGAACGAGAGCCGCGACCCCGACCACGGCATGTCGGACCGTTACACCTCGCGCTTCTTCCTGAAGCACAGCTTCATCGAGCAGGCCTTCGACATGCTGCACGAGCACGGCTTCAGGCTCGTGGGGAGTTGCGGCTCGGGGACCGCGGGTGGCACGGCCGAGCTCAAGCCCGGCGTTGACCTCGAGGAGAACCGCTGGAATCACTACAACGAGTTTGTTTTTGTGCGCGAATAAGACTCGCGGGGGACTACTGGCGCCCCGAGATGCGGAGCTCCCCAGCTGTGCTGCTTTTGTTGTTGCGACGACGATGACGATTACGAAGGGAAGAATGAGCACTACCGCACGATCACGAGATTACGGGGTAAGCATCATTTCTTGTAACTTATACTTGTGCGTGACAGGACATTTTTTACGTGTTTAAATAATTTTAGCTAATGAACGCTTTCATAAAGCCCCCGGCGTATCTGTTCCCATTGATTTTACTGTAGAGCCAGTACGTGTCTTACGTGCGAAACATTTTTTTTTTCCACGATTTACATATTGTAGTTGTTGATTTAGTTATTGATTCGTGAATGATCTTGAATGTTAGAAAAATAGGAGTGTGGATTATATTTTATACGAGTTTGTTTTAACAATAACACACTATAAAGTGTTTCAGAATTGCACAAACAGTCACGATTAACACAAGCTCTGTTGTACCTCGAGAAATTGGAAATTTTTTTTTATCGAGCAGTTCAGAGCTACGTACATGTAGTCTTCGAGAAAAAAAAGTGGTCAAGCCGTTCCCTAACAATTAAATCGAGAGAATAAGTATAGGAGGAAGAGTAGGAGTTTGTACATTCTTCGATTAGAGTAGGGTGCGCGAGAGCTTTCCAATCCCCTTTAATTATCCCTATGTTTACCTTCTCCGCCGCTACCGAAACAACTCGCAAAGATAAACTTCGTCCCACACTGTACCGTATATTGTGTACTCCTTGGCTAAGTCCGCTATCGATGTCCCGGATTCTATAGGAGTTGTATATTCAAACGAGTACCAGCTGCGTTTTAGGTGCCACCACAGTTTCGCGTATACTGTATATTATCCAATGATTTATATATTTAACTTACGGGTGTGCATTTATCTTGCTGATGTGTGCAATAAATGGGAATCTCTTATTGTTTCGCTCTGCTCGTTTTGTAAATTCACTTTGCAAACTGGCAGACAAATGCGAGTAGTAGTACTTAAACGTGTTTTATCCAATCGTAAGTAAGGTATGATGGTTTTTTTTTAATGTTTACCTTGTAAACGACATTTTCTACTTTTATAAAAACAATTCTTCGTCATGTCAAATTGTCGTGATGTTATGATAAAACGTGCGAATATCGAAGTAGATAGACAATAATTTACGTATTGGTTGAAAATACTATTACACACACACAACGACATAGTGCATGATGAGGTAAAAAACCAGGGAGGGGATCCAAGGAAGGACTTTGATTTATATGTGAAGAATATACGTCAACGCCGCTGGAAACAATGTGAAAATAAGATAAAAATACCACTATACCGATCGATCAATAACCTTCTAGCGGATACTCAAACGCATCGTCAATCATTGCAAGTGATCATACTTATATGGTCACAAAAAAAAAAAAAAAAAAAAATGAACGAAAAAAATGACAAGACGAATGAGTCCCATGGATGACACGATAAACCCAAAGAGTACCTAGTACAAGTACACAGAGTTACGAGACGAAAAGGGGTGAAAAGCACACACATAGGTATCCACTCACTCCCGTGTCCTTTGAAAAAGCAGTGGGAAGAAAGACAAGTCACTGGGGATATTTGCAGCTCGTCGTAGCAGAAAAAGCTACCCATACATGCCTGACCAGTCTAGTCTTGCACTACAGCTCACTTTCTACCCTTAGAGAGGAAAAGTCTCGTTCTGTATGCACATTCGAGCGTCGGTACATCGAAGCTCGGAGTTTTCCGTCGACATGTACATGAGTGATTCCTTGAAAAATCGGCTATTTTGTATACGACGTTGAAAAAAAACGTGTCTCTTTTATTTTTGTACCAGTTATGTTTTCCATTCATCGTCTTACGTATAGCAAACGAAGGAGATCTTAATAAGTCAATGTTTGACAATGCTTGGCATCAGTAGGGGCTATTGAAATAAGTCAAGCTTACGAAGAGATATTGAAAGTAGCCTCGTTGATTTGAAAAATAATGTGGGGAAGAACGGTGTTTAGTACAATAAAAAATTTAGAAATTTCATGCATTTTGGAACAAACTTTACGTTTTGCAACACGCAGAAGCTGTACAATTGTGATAAGACCCCCTTATCAAACGTTATATCAGTTTATTCTTCAATCATGTGGTAAACGATTTTTAACGGAACCACTCGTGTATAAAAGTAACTGTAGCCAAGCGAGCGGTGCAGTGCCAAGCAGAGTATAGCTGGAACCGTCGACTGCGTCTTAGTGACACATATCTCTTGCTTTGTCTGTGTGCGCGTGTGTTATACGAGAGCTAAGAACTAAAAGCTAACGCGTGAAAAAGAAGATAGAAGAAGACGAGGCAATATCGATCGCGATACAGGAAGGACGCGCGCGCGCGCACGCACATTTCGGATATTTTTCGTTTTGTTTTCTGTGATACCGTTTATTATGTGCCACAACAACAAAATAACCAAGCAACGAAACCGACAAAGAACTTGTACGGCCACCCCCGGGCCTTGACGTTTAACTTTTTCTGCCTGTCATTACAATGGTTGTTATTCTATTCTTCGTATCTTTGACTTCTCTCTGATGCCAGTGAAGATAAATCGTTGGATTTTCCACTGGAGTTGCAGGAAGCTATTGTAAGGATAAGCAGGAAATAACACTCGTAACGGGAAAACAAAGTGTCAAGGGGGAAAATAAATTCACGGAAAACTTTCTTGGGACGAAACGGTGCGGAGAAAAAAAAATTAATTGGTTATTTCAAAGCAGCTGTTTTCCTTACATTGTGGGCGCTACAGGGATCGCACCAAAGATTCGCGGAACTATGCGAATACGTAATTCACTCGGGGTGACTTTTCTTGTTCTTCTTGGAATCCACTGCTTTCACAGCCGGGGAAACTTCGATCCAAACTAATTCTTGCCCCTCGTTCGCTCGCTTTTTCTCCCCTGTGTGTTTCTAAGGCTATTTTTTTTTTTTTTTTTTCTTTCGAGAAACTGCTGCTGATAGTGAGAAATCGATGGGTCGCTTTTTTCGGAAAATAAGTTGGTCAACAAAGAAAAGCGGAGGAAATTAATTGCACATTCCAAATAGAGATCCATTAGCGTATCTTTTTTTGAAATGGATCAACTGGCAGGAAAAAAAATCTCGTGGGTCTTTTCCTTCGGTTCATTGAATTTTTGGGGTGTGGGTAAACTTTAGCTACGGCTACGACTACGACGCTGGATTTTGCTGGAAATAAAATTTGTTACAAATTACGACGGAGGAGACCATTTCAAACCGTACACAGCGTCATCGTTATATTTATTGTCCCAATTATTATTCTTGTTAACGAATTCTTATCTTGCCGTTTCGCAAACTCGTTTAAAGATGTGAGTACATAATGTTTCATCCAAGATGTGTTTGCCAAAAGTATAAATAACGTTGCGGAAGAGTCTCAAACTACTTAGCTCAATAGAGCTTACTTTTATGTAAGTAGGGATTTCGCAAAGTTGTCCCAGAGAATTATCTTGAATTATAGCAATCGCTGCATTATCCGATTTCGCTTGGCAGGGTTGGGGATAACTTCGGTGTCATTCAGTGGTAGTTGTCGCTTGCAACAACCATTTCTTATTTAAGTGTTGTCATTTGCTCAGGTAGTGGGCCATTTTTGTGACTGTGTACTGTTTGCCTTTGTTGTAAATATTTTTCAAACGGTTTGTTTTTTTTATTATTACTATTGTTATATATTTTTTTCTTTTTTATAGAAAAAGAATGATAAATCTGATAAAAAAGTTGTTTCAACTATGCTCTTTTTCTCTTTGAGACTAGGAGTTTTATGCGTTATGACGACTTTTGAATGTATGTATAAGTACTTAGAAAATATGGCACGAAGAAACGTGGCATCTAATGACTGTCTTTTCATGCTTTATAATATACAAAAAATGAGCTCAATAATTTTTGGACATTTTGAAAATAAGACCTTTGATGTTCCTTTTTACAAAAGTAATTATTCAGCATACGATAGAAAATTACCAAATCAATCTAATTTTTCCATTGTTACTTTGCAGCATAATATTCTAACTAATTAGAGAAAAAGATGACTAACGTATGGATTTGGAATTTTTTAACTTAACACATTGACTAGCAATAACAAAGACGCAAGCGACTTTTAAAACTTCCCTGAGCTTTTGTAGGCTGATTCAGTGAAAGAAAAGTTCCTTTTTTTCGGCACGCATAGCTTCTTTTATTTTATTTTCTTTCAGTCGCAAGCCCTGCAAGATATCAGGAAAAAAAAAAACAGAGATAGAAAAGACACGGAAGAAAAAAAAATTTGCTCAAAAAGTTGCGGAGGGTCCGGGTGCCTTGCAACAGCAAGAATAGTTATTTTGTCTTCCGAGAAGTAAAGGCGGCAGCAGGTATAAAGAGCCTTAATGCGCGCTCGACGAACACTTGCCAAAACTTCAAAGGGGGAAAAAGAGCAACTTTTCTCACGGGCTGGGAAACGAGAAGCTACGAGCTTGGGAAAAAGCTTTATCAGAGGGAGAGAGGAAAACGATGATTCTCTAACCCCTCATGGCTCTTTCGAGTGCTTATTGTTGTTCACTCGGTATGCGCAGAAATAAAGTCCATACAGAGCTCAGCTTTTTCGCTCCGCGCAAAAGCTCCTAACGACACTTTTAATCATTTCTCAAACCACGTGACAATAACAACTTAATTACAAAAACATCCTGGTCCTTATGCAATTGTCTCCCGGCAAGATGTTGGCGACAATAAACTGTGCAAACTTGTTTTTAAGAGCCCATAACCACTGAGAGTGTATAACGCGCGTTGTTATGCCGAGGAGAAAAAACAAAGCTTCCTGTCGTCGTCGGATTTACAAAAGCCACGAGGGGAGTGGGAAATGATGAAGGATCGAGTAAACGCGCGAGCAAAGCCGGGTCGTGTGGTAAAAGTGTTTTTGCGTCTTTACGATGTACATTATGGAAAGCTCGAGCTTGCGGTCTTGGAGTCCTCTTATCGTGGCCAGCTACGCTGCGGACGGCAGGGGGAAGCGCGAGGCGTAAGAACAAAGGGGGTGGAAAGGTGAGGGGAAAAGAAAAGCGTTGGATTCCCGGGAGCGGGGTAGGAAGGGGGCGCGGAGTGTCTCAGTATCGACGGCAACGGTGGTGTGCTTTTCT